GTATAGAAGGTAAAAGAATTGAATTAGAGTACTGAGGAAATTAGTAAAAAGTGAAAAAAGAAGAGGAGAAAGAATACCGCCCTGTGGAACACCAGTAGTGATATCGGCCCAGCTTGAAATAGTCTGATCAATTCGAACAGTCTGCTAGTGTCCACGAAAATACCGAAGAAGAGGCTCCCATGTAAGTAAGGATTGCAAGGAGAATGTTGTAGTTGACCATGATCAATGCGTTGGAAAAATCGATCAAGAGCATTGCTGTCAACTGCGATTTCTCCATGCCGTTCCGAACGTCGTCCAGAACATTAAGGAGAGCAGTGGTTGTGCTGTAACCGAGTAGAAACCCAGATTGTAGAGGACTAAGCATCCTATGGCGAAAGATAAAAGAAGACAGTTGGTCACAGCAGTTTCTAAAATCTTAGAGAGAAAAGGTAATATTGATATGGGTCTGTAGTAGTTTAGAGGATAGTGAGGTATTTTTAGGCATGGGTATAGTAAGAAAATATTTATTATTTTGAAGAAGATATACAAAAGTCTAGCTACTAATACCCTACTTGGATATTTCTTCTTCAAAATTAATTAAGTAACTAACTTTTTCGACATGTAATTATTTTGAAAACAATAATCCAAAGAAAGGCATTCGACATACGATGTATACGCACTGACATTACATCACTCATCATAAATGCTATTAGTGTATGTTAAGAGCGGCGAAAATCATCTTTGCCCGGAGCGGCAAAATTTCTGTATCGGCCCTTGAATCCGGCCCTGGTATATCGTCATACCTATGTACATCCAATCTATCTATAGTATACCTACGCATTCTAGAAGTTTATCCTTGAATAACATATCCCATATAATGTCACACTGCTAACAACAAGACCCGATCACTCAATATTCAGTAACAAAAAATATCGACTCCCAAACAGTAAGTATGTACATACATAATAAATAGAGACCGCTTAATATGCACTCGAATTTCGAGTGATATAATTTAATAATAATATACCATTTCTTTTCTCCTCACAAAAGGTGTAACAGTACAATATGTAACTAACTTAATCAATACAAATACATAAACCTATTATGTGGGAGACTGGTGCCCGTCAAAGGCAACTACGAATAGCTACCTGTACTAACAGGTCACCAGGCCCAGACTATCATACATAAACCATACGTGTATTGCATATCTTAATGGAAAATTGAATACCTACTCCAAATTTGAAAAATACATTGTCAGAGAGAAAAAATGAGATGTAATCTAAGAAGTGTTTTAATTAAACTGCAGACTGCATTGACAAAATTATTAGTAAGGTGCAAGTATGCATTTAAGTATAAGTATACAGATTATAAAGCTTTCCGACGCTTTCTATTACATGTACATTACCCAATAAAAACCCAATAACTGCAAATTGTTATTGTCAAAAGGAATATATGGTTAAAACTTCGATTAACAATTCTATAACGGGTTACATACATACCTGGACAGTTTCTAGATTTGATATTCAAAGCTAGAAACTGTCCAGGTATGTTTAAAGTTATGCAGCTACATTCGCTACCCAATGAACAAAGATAAATGTTTTAAAACAGTTTAAGTTAAACCTAATAACAAATATCTTACAAAGAAGTGAGGTTACAAATAACAAAATGTTATTTCGCACATTCGACCTTTTATCTTACAACACCAACTCTAAAAAAAGAAGTACTTAATAGTAATATCTAACAATTAGTGAACATATTATATTACCCAGGAACCAGAGCTTACTTTAAGTCTAAGCTACTGGACTTTTTTACATTTTCACACTTGTTATATATTCGAATTTGACCGAGTCTCATACAGGAATCACCTCTAATTTTACCACGTAGGGGATGAATTCCCAAAAATAAATATCAAAGGTAATACATATTTATTGTTAACCATAAGATCATCACCAATTTTTTAGATTTCTGTCATCAAATCTGAAACACTTTAAAACAAACTTTCATCCCCTATTTTAACCCCTTAGGGGATGAATTCCCAAAAAGCAATATAACCGTGAACTTTTCTGCAAAGTTACTTCCCCGTACGATTGCAATTCGAGCGGAAAACCCGCTATGGCCTGTTGCCGAGTTGCAGGTAGACAGTGTAGATTTAATTTACATATTTGTTGATTGTATATATTGTACTATTTTCTTCAAGGTTCACTTTATCTTCATCAAAATTTACCAAAATAATTTTAGAAGTTAAGGAAACTTAAACTTCCATCCCCTTATTAACAAACCAGGAATATGCTTAGAGTAATTACGCCGCGTTTATTAAAAAATCGGATGAAAATTTGTATAGAAAATAAATTATTCTACGTAAACGTAGTCACGAGCACCAACACTACAATAAGAAATTAATGAATTGCGATTTGCGACAGTTTAGTAAATTCATGAACATTTTATAATATTGTTAACATTAGCAAAACTTACTCTTAAGTATGCTTATTCGATCGTAATGTAACACGATATTTGTTACAATAATATTTTTTTAACGCAAAATACCTATATAAGTTTTCTTAACAAAAAAAATTAAAGAACTTTTTAGCGTTTCGTATCTTAAACAGAAACAACGTAACCCATATAGGATAAGTAATATACTTGAAATAACTAGATAAGTAATTATTTACTTCGTATGTTAATGCAAGCTCTGCTATTTTCTGTATAGCACATATCTTATTACAATTTTTGTTTAGTTTGTGACTAAATTATTGTTGTGAGTTGTGCAGAGTTAGTATTATTACTGATTCATATAAAATTAACTATGTTTTCAATGATTTACATAAAGAGAGCGAACCATGGCAGGACAAGCGCCAGACACGAACTTTCTTTAGGACTCCTTTGAGATGAGGGTCCAAATTATACTTTGCCTAAATAGAACATACTCAGTAATTATTTTTTAAACAATAATATGGCATAAATGAATTTTGCTAGCTAAAAAATTGCGATTTTTTATTGTTAAGATAAATGTTTTGTACCAAATGAAAAGTGGAAAATGCTATTAGTTTATGTTAAGGGTGATTTGCGATGTGATATTTTGGGAAAAGTTATTCCCCCATACATTAGTAATCCAATTAAAATATGCTACGAATTTTTATCGTTTAAAAATTAATACATTCGTCAGTCGTTTCACGGTGGAAGAAAGCTGAGAATGCGAGCAATCACAACAAAGGCATCTAGCTGGGGCACTTTATTTCTGTGATATTGTTGAAAAACAATCGGAATGAGCGGTGATTTAAGCGGCTTGATCGAGTCGTAGCTCTAGACGTCTAAACAACAGTGAACACGCGAATACAACAATAGAACTGGCTCACCTGCCCTTATTATGAGATAAGCGAAACTTTAGAGATCCAAAATTAAAAGTCTACTCTAAATTAAAATTAAGACTCTGAAACTAGCAGAATGTCTGCTAGTAGCAGACACATCTTAGCAGCGCGGGACCGTCACAAAACAGATGGTCAACGTATTTCTGGAAACTGTTTTGGTTTTTCATATTTTATAAGTAAGGGAATGTAATCAATATCTTTTTACCAGGGTACCTAACGCTATTTCCAAGTATAGCTAATGTGGAATTTGCGAAAATATACAAGCGATTTTTCACGTGAAAACTCATGCTCTTGCCTTTGAAACAAAAAAAGTTGAATGGCAAGAAAAGGGTTCGAAATGCGTTCTTCATACTTTTTTACAAAACTTGACATAAGTTTTCACGTGAAAAGTCGTTTAAATTGTCTTTTTTCGCAAATTTCAGCTTAATAAACAAGGTTACGAACACTCGTGCTAACAAATTTATTAAATTCCTTTATTTTTAAATAAATAAGATAAACAGTCACTATGTAGCGGCTCTGTTGTGGTGGGAGGGGGGAGGGGCTAAAAAGCAACAGCTTCAACTTGAAAAAATCTTAATTATGAATTCATTCACCCCTCAATCCTTTCAATCTAGACATACAAAGTTTAAATTTACATCAAGCTGGACGTGAGTAAAAATATTCAAATCATAATTAAAAATAACATTTCTTTTTGTTGTTCTTCTTGACTTTCTTCTTCATCTTATTGATCTTGTAGCGATGTATCGCATGTCTCTTTATTGTTAGCAAACGAATTCTCTACTGTTGCTGATTCAACATTAGGACACGATTGGCCTTGATAATTGGTAAATGCCAGAAAACAAAACAGTTCAAATTTTTGCAACCACATTTAGCACTGCATCCCTTTTTACAGTTGCAAAAACTTAAGTCTGAAGTGGTTCTAATGTATTTTCAACCAACTTCCACCCTAGCCTTTTAGGTCTAGATGATAACCAAGCCACACTCGCACTTGAGTATCTACCGATAAAGTTATTGATGAGCAGCAATTGAAGTTGGAGGAAGACAAGCTAATTGCACTTGTTTTTTATTTCGTGTTCGCGTTTAGAGGTGGCGTGGAAACGTTTAACATATAAGGACGCATAAAACTTTTTAAATCGTTATATCTCAGGAACGGAAATATTGATACCTTTTTCATAGATAATTTTATTATTTACAATTTTTGTCTGAGGTAATTTTACGATAAAACTTACCGTTTTGATGAAAATCGCGAAAAACTTACTTTTTTGACCTTTCAAATCGAGTAATTTTTTTCAAGTACAGGAACGATGTGGAATTTTTAAATGCTATTTTTAATTATGTTTTGAACAATTTTACTCACTTGCAGCTTAATGTAAATTTATGTACCTTCGCTCTTTTATTATTTTTCTGTCTAAATTGACCGGATTCAATAACACAAGTATTAATTATTACTTTCGGGGTCGTCTTAACTTGAACTGTAAACTGACACATTGGGAAATAAAAACCATTTTCATTTTTTCATATCACCATTTTAGTCGAATCCTATGACTGTCATTAATGTTAAAGAACGAAGTATTTACACTTTATTTTATGCCTTCTTTGTGAATTGCTATTTTGATTTCCATTTTTGCTAAATTAACTTGCTTTTTTTACTTTCAGTCGTCGTCATTCACGCAAGAAGAATGTTTGAAGAATTTTAAACGTAAGTATTTTTTCCTTACTAGCGTTTTACGTTAGCTCATAAGATAGAACGTATTTATAATTAACTAAATTCATGGAAAAATCGTTATTTATTACTTTGGTTCTTTCAATTTGTGAGCAGAATTTACTAAGTATAAATTTAGCGACCTACACTGCTTGGCATGGGTACAATATACTAACGAGAATTCGAAAAGAATTGATTTTAATACAAATACCATATCCATGGTGTTAACAGTGAATTTTCTAAATTTCTTTTTCATAATCTTGTCCTGGCAAATAACGCAACAACGAAAAATTTGATTTTGTGAAGGCGTTCGGAATTAACGAGCACGATTAAATTAATAAATATTTTTTTCCAACACTCACACCAAATTAGCCTAGCCCTAAAGTAAGCACTGTAAGGCTTGTCTTATGGGATAGGGTAACAGATAGAATATATATACAGTAGATATATAAGTATCTTTATATATATAATTCTTCTATGAGTGTGTATGTCACTGAACTTCTCTTAAACGACTGGACCGATTTTGATGAAATTTTTTGTGTATGTTCAAGGGGATCTGAGAATGGTTTAGATTCACAATTATGTCCGCTGGACAACCCCTATTTTTTAGGGCGGTACGAAGTTCGCTGGGTCAGCTAGTATTTATATATAAATACATATCAAACATCCATGACTACAGTACAAATGCTCGTATTCGTCACACAAACATCTCGTCATCCCGGGACCTCTCGAGTCGGCGACACCATGAAACCCATCGTACAAACCACCCGGCCACGGAGGGCGTCAATATTTTGACCGAATTGAAATTGAATGATTTCCGAAAAACTGCACCAAATCTGAGCACAGACTTTGGCGGCTTATTTTTATTTATATAGATTTAATATTCACAGGTCCACATGATGGAACAAGCGGAACACCTCCAACAGTGCAGCTGCAGTGTGTTCGTCGATCCGTGGTCGGATTCAACGTCCAAGCTGCCAAGACTGAAGGAAACCCGCTAGTGGTACTCACTCCGATTAATTCCACAGCGATCAACGTAAGATATTTATTTGTTCTGCATAAAAATACTTGCCTAATAATAGGCTTGAGAATATTGGACACGGCTCTCAGGGCTGCGGTAGCATAATGGTCAATGCATTCACCGGATAGCGAAAAGTGCGGGTTCGAGTCGCGTCTGCTGTCTGAAATTTAATGTTATATTATAAAAAATATAACTGCAGATGTAACATATATGTGCAGATGTAGTCCCGACTGCATCTGCAGTCATTAGCACCCAACAATCTGCATTGTTCTCTCATCCACGAGAAAAACTTGTGCTCTAATAGTGCGTTTGACCTAATAACATATTTATGCACTTATTATGACGAATATTGCAAAACTCAAAACATGAATATTAGCAGACCCGCATTAAGCAACACTTCCTTCTCTTTAATGAATTTTAACGTTATTTTGCATATTCATAAACGGTAAATCCGAGATCTGTTTACCACCACCATATTTCCTGATAATTAATTAGTGTGTTATCTGTATTTCCAGGATTTTCTGATACCTCAGAAACTAAGTTAATTAGTTTTCGAAATCGATCGTCCAATTGTTATAAATATTAATATGTAATTTACTGTAACAGGTTAGTGTCAGCAAATTATTAGGGTTTTTTTTGATTTGTTTTATACTTACTTGCACACGTGCGCAACTCGTTCTCAATTAGTATGAAATACTTGTGTAGCAACTACGTGATGCGCGACTACGTGTCATAGTGCTCGTATACTGTATCGCATAGGGAAAGGTAATTAAACCTGCTGTATCGGCCGCGTTGTTTGATACACAGTGTTGCCGTGAAAGGAGATTGCTGAGCTTCCATACATGTTTGGCCTGAAGACCAATAATCATGAAAAATTGTTTCCTAGATTCGAAATTATATATAAATTAACAGTAATTCTACAGACAGACTTTTCTACAGAGAAACGAATATTATTGACAGACACCCCTGAGAACTTCTATAAACCATATACACTGAATGATTTTGAGGTTATGTTTGTAAATAGGTACTTATGTAATAAAATAATAAAAAACAAATAAGTTATAAAGTAAAATAGGGAAATCAAGCCAAGTACCGAAATTACGTATTAGATTCAGGTATATAGAGCAGGTAGATTAACAAATAGTTGCTTGTTTATAAAGTTAATGCACAAGAGTTACTTTTAAAATCAGGTATCATCTATGCATTTCTGGTTATAATAAGGTGCTCTGTGACAGAAACTGTGTGATGATTGTGAATGAGCCACAGATTGGAGAGAATTTTTAAGCTCTCTCTCCTAACCTAACCATATTTTAGATTTTTAGTGTATCACACGTTATAATGTGTTGTGGAGGTGTTTGGCGAAAAATGTAGGGCAATAGACTTTATGATCTCGCCTACCATCTATAATAATTGTCTTAGCACATTTGCATGTACTGAAAATGATAATATACTTGTGGATATTAATACCACAGTGTAATAAAAAAAATGGTTGCCTGTAAAGTCGGTTTTACGGGCGAAGATTTTACGTGACAACGTCTTTTTCTCGGTAGAATATTTATTGATATGAATAAAATTAAATTGCACAATAGGAACAAGGAATTGAATGAAAATAAGAATTGCACAAATTTTAACTATAGAAATATATTTTGTTTACTAAAACATTGTACATGTAAACTTAAACTTAACACGAGAGACTCATCGTAACGTTACCGAGCGTTACACTTTTTCATAAGTGACTCCCAGCCGCAACCTAATTTAAGACGTTGTCACGTCAAAAAAGTTTTATTTTATCGATCTTTACAAAAAAGATTTGTTTTGATGTTATATAAACAACTTCGATCAGTCCTTTGGCTGAATGTTACTACACCCATAGCCATTAAAAATAATTCGTATGTTTTCCAAACCAGTAAAATGAAAAGTCCTTTTTAAAATGAATATATTATACTAAGGTGTCCGTTAAAATCTAATGACTGTCAAATAAAGTATAAATTACACCAAGAATTACCGTATATGTCAATATTTTTTGGACATTTGGGCCAATTTGAGCATACTCCTTTATTATTTGATTTTGAACTATTGTTGATCGAAGGCATGGTTTTATCTTTATAACATAGAATATACGCAATATTGTTATATTGAGTGCAAATGCAGCGTGTTTGAATGTACAATTGTTACCAAAGCGAATTGTGGTCATACATCACAATTTAAGCGGTACACTTTCGCGACGCGCCGCGCCGCGCCGCTTCACTGCAGTACCGCTATAATGCGTTTTATTTCATAAGAAATAGTAGAAAAAATATTTTTCTTGACGCGCCGCTCCGATGCCACTACGCGCCTCTCCGCTGCAGTGTCACTATAGTGCGGTTTCACCTTTAAGATTAAGAAAACTTAACTTAAAATTTAACAAAGATCTTAACAGTTTCAACATTTTATTTGTATTATATCAGCCATATTTAGAAGTTTTAGATAACGTTGCAAAGTGGCCTGTGTGATGTCATATTTTGTAGCCGTAGTTTTTATAGCCTGTTTCTGTTCAGTCACCTCCTGCATCGATTTTTTCATATTCCTTTCAGTCCAGAGACCTTGCTCTGTTTTCTTTAATATTTATTCAACATCCTAAAGGAAAAAAATATGAAGAATAGGTAAATAACACAATGATAAATGATAAAATTAACATCATTTCAATGTATAACACAAAAGCATGGTCACAAGAGCATAGCGGGCATGTTCACTTTTCCCTGCTCGTTTTGCCTTTCATGTCATGCTCACGTTATCGTCAGACCTAACCTTACATTTATTATCATGTTTGCTTACATGATCAAATTAAAGTAAGATTAAACGCAATACCCAAGACATCTTGATAATTAGATACATCACTTGAAATTAGACAAAACACATAATCATTATCATAATCTTTATTTGCAGAATATGGTTACAAATGGTGATACAGAGATAAAGAGCATCCTATATTCTTACCCAATGGGGTGTGCAAACTAATTGACATGTCGAGAAAAAAAAACTTATTGCAATTATTCCATTCATTGAGCATAATATAAAATTATAACAAATTCACATCATCATTGTCAAACAATATAATAGATTAATTGAATCTTATTCATAAAGTTATGTCCATAAATAATAATTTAAATTTCAACATTACTTAAATATTCCTTTAATGTATAATAAGCTTTATTTACTAAAAACTTTTTTAGGGTCACTTTATATTTTACCACATTATCGATTTGTCTTATATCTTTTGGTAGCTTGTTATATTCACAGTCAGGTCATAAGTATTGTCACACAGTAAAAACTTTTCTTTTAGAATGCTGGCCACAAAAAAGGATATTGAATTCGAATTTCAAATTGTTCATGAAAATAAAAATGTATACTTTTTAGAATTTTACTCATTTTTAAATATGGAGTGGACGCTTAAAGAAGACCGTGTTGCAGTTATTGCGTTGCATCTTTGCGGTTACGCGCCAATTAAAATTTTTGACATACTGAAAAATTTGAATATAACCAAAAAATTCGTTTATCGTACCATCAAACGATACACTGAAAACTCTAGTATAGATGACAGGTCAAGAAGTGGTCGCCCTTGCCTCGGTCTGTTAGGACTCCAGCAGTGATAAAAGCTGTGAAGGCGCGAATTCAAAGAAATCCCAAACGTAAGCAGAAACTGTTGGCCCTTCAGATGGGGTTAAGCAGAACCACGGTGAAAAGGGTGTTAAATGAAGACTTAGGGCTTCGGGCATATCGAAGAAAAACAGGACATCATTTGAATGCTCGTCTAATGGACTTGAGACTGAAGAGATGCCGCGCTTTGTTGAAGCGGTACGCGGGAAAAAAATATCGGGAAATTCTTTTTTCGGATGAAAAATTTTTTTCCGTAGAAGAGAGCTACAACAAACAAAATGATAAGGTGTACGTACACAGTAGTGAAGAAGCGAGCAACCGTATTCCGCGTGTCCAACAAGGTCATTTTCCATCCTCGCTCATGGTATAGTTGGGAGTTTCTTATTGGGGCTTAACAGAGGTACATTTTTGTGAGAAAGGTGTAAAAACGAATGCAGTTGTGTATCAAAATACAGTCCTGACGAACTTTGTGGAACATGTTTTTCATACCATGTTCAATAACAGGCACTGGTTACTGGTTAGTCCAACAAGATTCGGCGCCAGCTCATACAGCGAAAAGCACACAAGACTGGCTGGCGGCGCGTGAAATCGACATCCGGCACGAAGACTGGCTCTTCTTCAGTCCAGATTTGAGTCCCTTAGATTACAAGATATGGCAACACTTGGAGGAAAAGGCGTGCTCAAAGCCTCATCCCAATTTGGAGTCACTCAAGACATCCTTGATTAAGGCAGCCGCCGATATTGACGTGGACCTCGTTCATGCTGCGATAGACGACTGGCCGTGCAGATTGAACGCCTGTATTCAAAATCACGGAGGTCATTTTGAATAAACTTTATTGTCATAAGAATCTGTGTTTTTTACCAGAAGTTCATTTTGGTATTTAAATGGTTACATAATGAATAAACTTGTTTCAATTATTTTATATTAAACATGTGCCAGAATTTATGACCTGACTATAATAGGTATTATCGGAGCAACGCCATATAAACTTAGTTTTTGACATAACTTATCATTGTGTCTTTTAGATGTAAAAATATTATAAAATACGTTAGAGATAAGCATGAGATAGTATTGTTCGCGGATGATACATCACTTTTATTTAAACTCAAACGTAAGGAAACAGTTATTGACGACGTGAACAGTTGTATCTCTAAGGTAGTCCACTGGTTTAATGTTAATAATTTATTACTTAATGAAGGAAAAGCGAAATGTATGAAATTTGTATTACCTAATGTAAAACAGGTAAAAACCAGTGTGAATGTAAAGGATAGGAATATGGGCCTTGTAGACACCACAGTATTCTTAGGGATTACTTTAGATTCTAAACTTCAATGGGGCCCACATATTGATAAATTGTCAAATAGACTTAGCTCTGCAG